AGTTATAAAACAAGTTCCATCTGTCTGCAGTATGACTGCAGTGTGACACAAGTGCTTCCGAGCAGGCAGCCTCTAATAAATCCCAACTAACTCACCAGTTAGACATTTCTTCCTCTCCCTGCTCTCCATTTCATTCCGAGCAGACAAATGTGTCTCCTGTGGCTGCAGACAAAGGGCCATGAATGGTAAAGGGCCAGGTGGTGCCCTGTCAGGTCACCAAGGTAACAATAATTACCTGCTAGTACACTGACTCGCTCAGCATACAAACTATACGATATTTCTCCCTTCACTGATCACAGCTCAACTCCCTAGTCAAATACAGGCAGAGCTTAAACATGACACTGTTCACCATGTGCAACATCTCGGGTTTGGCTGAGAAAACAACTGTCCAAATGTTGCATATGGCAACAATGAGAGAATGAAAGCAGTGGAGCTTTCTTTATTTACTGCTTTTCAACTCTGTTTAGTGAAATGTATCACATCTGGTGCTGATTAACAGCAGCAGAACACTGAGTGATTACATACTCTCTGGGAGCACATGTTTTCAACAGCTTGATATTAGTTCACATTTTTAGATGCTTTTACTTTACAACAGTACCCTTCTGTGTGTCCAAACAAAGGGGCTGACTTACAGCGTCACAGTTACACATGCACAGACCCATCAGGCAGGGTTTAGTTACTGAAAAAGCTACACAATGAGCTTGCACAATTTATAGCACACAAAGAACATCAACATCTACACAAACATATAAAAGGACATAAAATCACGCGGATTAACATGCCTAAAAAAAATTGTTTTTGCAGGAGACATTTTGACTCATCAGTGTTGTTACCTAAGACAATACTGATGGCTCCATTCTATTCAAATGTCACTATAAGGCACGAGACTGACAGTAAGCTGACATGCACCAGGACATTACAGCGAACTGCAGCAGAAAATAGTCCCTAAAAATTGAATATTTACTCATGTTTGAGTATATTTTCAAATTATAACAGTGCCCAGCTATTATATGATATTACTGAGACCTTTATTTTTTTTAAAAAAAGATTAACATCTTCAGTCAGAACCAATGGACTTGGGCTGGGTGCAACAGACTGGGTAGGGAAGTCATAACGTCCAGAGACAAACTAACACATTGTTGGTTTTGGTCTTTTCACTGGTTTTGTTAACAATAAAAAAAACACAAAATTACATAGTTATATTTAGCTTAGAACAATAAAATAAGAAGACCATATCCTCACAATATGATTTATTTCCAAAACATAATGAATGTACACATGCAGGCACACACACACACACTCTCTTGAGTTGTCTCTTGTCCTCTCACTCACCAGAGGTTACACTAATCCATGTGGGATTACATGAGAACTGTGAAAATAAGGAAGTTGTGACTAACATACTTTTTACAGTAAAAGGCTACACACACACACACACACACACACACACACACACACACACCAACACACACACAGGTGATGATCTTGTTACTCTTTCAGTCATCCAGGATGCAAATAGCAGACGTTTAAGTCACCGTCCTTTCCTGTGACCAGGGAGGCTTAAATAGGACATTTCAAGTTGGGCATTATGACAGTTTGTGTGTGTGTACCTGGATGACAGAGTATGATCTGTCTCTGTGTTATAATGTGTGTGAATTTAACATAAGATGAACTGAACGGTGGCTCAGCATAGGCCAGTGTAGCAGCCAAAAAACCCTGGAAGCTGTGGTTTGTTTAAGGAGGAAATGCCTTAATTCATGGTGGCTGCTGTCAGATACCACTGGGACTCCATAAAATAATTAGTACAAATAGGATTTATGACATATATGTGTAGATAGCTAGCTAGAGAGCTATATAGCTAGACAGACAGATAGATGCTGGCCAGAAATATGTTAACATACACATTATATTATTTTCTGTCGCCACCTTGAGAGACAGAGAATGCGTGTGTTGTGTTAACCTGATGGCATGTTATCATGGCATGTCTGGCACACACCCAGTGCCCGGGTGACCTGTGTTGCATGTAGCAGCATACGTTACGACTATATGCTGTAAGCCATTAAAGTGAGGTGACTCATTGAGACAAAGTCCATGCCCTGGGGTATGTCTCAAAGAACTACACCCACACTGGCTGGCTGCACTGGAGGCACTCACAAAAACTGACTACAAAGTGCATAAGATCCTCTGAGTGACAATCAGCAAAGAAAAAGAAGCAGCTAATAAAACCATCATAACCAAATTGGTTCTGTACTGTATGAGAGAAATTATACTGTATAAATTCTTGCAGCAGTATTTAGCGGGGATGTAACGATACCAAAAACTCACAGTCCAATGAAAACGCCACAATACGATATTTATCACTATATTAAAATATGGGGGTGGAACCTTTACCTTTAAATAAAAATGCAAACCAGTGCATGAAAATAGGCTTCTCATCAAGCCAATGTACAAAGTCTGACTAATGCACTTTGGCACAGTATTTATGGAGACATGCAGAGTTTTGAGGGACAGTGTTTTAAATAAAAGCCACACTCATTTTGCTCTCAGACAAGCTAAATAAGAAAACAAACCCACAATGAGCAAATGTGGAAAGGAAGGAATTTGGAGAGGAAATAGTCAATCCATTTGATAGCCATCATTTACTTCTCTGTGTCCCTTTCCCTCTCATGTGAAGGATAATGAAACAGCATATCATCTGCTGTTTTAAATCAAGCCACTTGGACACATATTAGATGATATCACATGAGACTCAGGGAGAAACCTAATGAACTCAAACATGAACGCAACATGAGGCAGACAGCGCACACAATGCAGTGACAAGCACCCATTTTATATTCAAATGAATGATGCACTGTACAGTATACAGGAACTCGAAATGTGTGCCATGAGGAGAACTGAACTTGGGCAAATGCCATCAGTAATTTAATTAGCCATAAGACTTCGGGAAGGCAGCGTGATTTTCTTTCCACAGTCCTCTAAAAATGTTCTCTCTAGCTGATGTGACCCTTCTTTGTTGAGCTTTCCTGTCTGCTTTGAGTATCATCCTTGCAGAAGAAAAGGACCAAGTCCCAACTATTTCTCCATCTTTGTTTCTCTCTCAAATGTTCCATTCTTTCTAGTCAGCTTACTGCAACTTTGGCCCTCGAATCTGCAAGTCTCTGTGGTCAAATCCATCTGTGTCACAGCCTGTCAAAAATAGTCACAATTCAGCAGCTCCCACAATAATTATACAGTGCAGTGGAGGAACGAGTGTCACCTCCCTCTCTCTTGCCAAGAAACTCCAACAATGATCTTTCCAGGATTGAATATAGATGTCCAACTTCTTGCAAAACTTCACTAAAATCCTGCTGGCTTGCAAAGACTTAACAATATGCCTGCTCGGAATTTCATTTACTGTCTGGTGCCAAATTATGGTTAAGATGAATAAACTATCACAAAGCACAGTGACTCACCTGGAACATAAAGGCCTGAATAATTTGTGACTGAAGAATTTATTAAGCAAATTGAATGATAATGGTCTGTTTACTACCGATAATCTGACACCGCCTACTAATGTTGTGATTATTTGCACTTAACAACCGCTGGCTGATGCTGACAGCAATAAAATAATCCAGGAGTCTTTGTTTCCTATAAATATACACAACAGTCCACAGAACAACTAAAAGAAATAAAACTATGCTAATGGAGTTAAATGAATAATAGAGTATGACTCACAAACTGACTGCACTATATTCAGATGATCAACTGACATTTTTTTATTGTGTCATCCAAATGTCTATGCAGATGTCTCCAGATTAGAGTGAAGGGAGGACCCAGTGCACTTTGAACCTATTCTGCTGTTGACATACGCATTCTTTAGATAACACATGGTTGACATATTAGCTGCTGACTGGTCCATCATCCACAGCTCAAGGACCTGAAAATTTGCTGGTTGCACAGCTGTTTAACAGAATAGAACATGACACTCGTTGTATTAGCTGGATAACTGCAACAGTGTGCAAACATGGTTGTGGGTGCATGCAGGTATAACATCAGAAAAATGCATGTGTAAGAAGACACCATAAAATGTCACCACAGTGACTCTACTTTCACCTTTGACTCCTGGATCTATACTGACCGGCCACTTTAATAGTCCCACCTGTAGGCACTTCATTGCCACATTTCCACCATAACATCTGTATTTATGAAGCTCAAAATGTTTGAGTTTTTGCTGAAATTGTCATAAATGTATAAATTCAATGATATGTTTATTATTGAGGTCATAGTTAAAGGTGTTGTTGTACTGGACTACATAATGTTCAGAGGTGTTCCTAATATTCTGACTCTCTCATGTATGTAGCTGAGGAGAACAAAAATATAAAGACCTTGAATATAATATAGTCCAGTTCAATACCAACTTTAACTATGACCTCATAAAAATATAATTGAATGTATACATTTATGACAATTTCACCAAAAACTGAAACATGTTGAGCTTCATAAACAGATGTTAAGGCGGAAGTGTTGCACTGAAGTGCATACAGCTGTTCAGGTGTACCTAATAAAGTGGCTGGGCAGAGTACTTTGAACAAAATACTCATGATCGGTCCTAAAATTCAGCTGTGAGTAGCAGCAAGTGGAGAGCAATAATTACTGAAATGGATTCTCTCTGCTAATGAAGCTCTGACAGTGAATTATAATACATGCAGGCCTTTAGGTGACCACTTGACAACAACTACAGAAATATCAAACCAAAAATGGCTTAAAAATGTCTGTTCTTCAAAATGTTCTTCAGTTTTGTCCTTTGGGGACTTGTGACCTAGTCATACCGAATCCCAATAGTTAAAACTAAAATAAAAGAACTGAGACTACTGCATCGAGAAATGGTATACAGTAATGACTATAGTCTGTTGCCATCATTCTAACATAGGGGGATTGTGTTGATTTTCTGAGCAACTACTCTTAAGTGTTAAATGTGTTTCAGTAGTCTTTGGTCACACACGGTGAAAGAATAAGGAGCCTACCTAAATTGACAAAGCTCATGACCATGTCTGCATCGTTCAAGAAGTTGTTGTCTTGCAGGCTGGCTATTGGGGGTCCCTGGGTGGTGAAAATGGGCTTGTAGGGGTAGGAGTATCTGTCCTCATCACCCTCTGTGGACATGGCGTTGTACAAGTCCAACATAAACATCGGGGCAGCGTTGTGCTTTCCGTGGAGGTGGGGTCGCGGCCGGTGCGGCAGCCCCAATATCGACAGGATTTCCCGCTGTATTTCTCTGCGCTCCTGACTCTTCAGCCGACGGTGAATGAAACTGGAGTGGAACTCGTTGTCCAAAGTAAAGTTCGTAAAGGTGGTATCCGCCAGGATGCAGTAGCTCCAAACCAAGAGCAACGCGGGAGCACGTCTATCCAAAATCGGTGCCATGCTACTCGCCGTGCGTAATTGCGCCCAGTTCTCTTTGCCCAGACTTTGGAAAATTGATATTGAACTGTAGACAACAGGCAGCCTGTGTTCAATATCCAAATCAGCTACGGGCCCTCATGTTGAGGGGAAGTGCCCCCAACTCACACATCAACTTTAAGTCCTTTTATTGATTGGTTTCCAGAGCAGATTGTGTTCGCGTGGACCTCTGTCCTCACCCACAATCTGTGACCCACAGATACTAACTGTAGTGCAGCCTGGAAATGCAGAGTGCAAGCTGCGAGCGGACCCGTTTCACCCGGTTGTAATGGGAGGAGCAGCAGGGAGAGAGAGAGAGAGAGAGAGAGAGAGAGAGAGAGAGAGAGTTTGGTGTGATTGTCTAATGGAGATAGAGCTAGTTTGGTCTTTGTCATCAGAGACTTGAGCCTACATATGCAAACACAAAACGGATTAGGACGGGATTTAGATGCGTCAGTTTATGATAAGTACATTTCGTCATTCCTTTCCTACAGTTCCTAGTGACTGTATGCCTCTGTGGATTCAATAATGACAGATGTGCAGACAATGACAACAGGCCTTTCAGTGTTAGTGTGTGTGCTTATGGAAAATAACAGGCTTCATATCAGAGAGCAGTTATTTGCCTCTGTGAGTACTTCAATAATGTGGGAGAGGTTGCAACATGCAGTTGCAATGTTGCCACTATACTTAGTTATCTGCAGGTGCACTCTCTGAATAACTTGGGTCACATGACTCTGAGATGTAAAAGTCAGTAGTTTTTTTATTTCACAATGCAATATTACAAGCTCACAACTGCCATTTCATGCTACATTTTTGAAGCTGTCTAAGCCGAAGCAGGAAGTTTGTGACAAAAGCAGCGATGCACAGACAGAGCACAGACTGTGAAGGAGGGGTGCAGATGTTTGGCAGCTGCTTCTTCCATCCATCTGCCCCACTGGCCCCAGCACTTCTTAAACACCACACTTTAAAGGAACGCTTCTGACCCTCTTGTGCGCTTGACAGAGGGATTTCAGATGGCCCTTGCACCAAGAATGACTGCTTTATCTAGCCAGACCTCCTAAAACCTTTTCACTACACAGAGCCTAGAGGTCTAAAGGCTCTGCAGTTGAGAGGTTTTAGAGCTACAGCATGCCAGGTGATTTTTATGACAATAAAATTAAGCTTCAATGGCACAGCAAGAGAGGCTGCTGGATGATTTAAACAATGATTGCAAACAGAGGAAGGGAGGAAAAGAAGCAGAGCATGTCCTGGGGTCTTTACTCTTAGCTCACCTTCCTGCTCATTTAGTGTGGTTGTTCTTCTCTTCAAAGGCGTTCCACTTCTCTTTTTCCAATGACAATTCAACATAGCCTGTCACTACTCATTCTGTGTATCTAACCCTCTATTTGGCTTTAAATGTTTTTTCAGTAGTAGCCTGTAACTTATAAACATTTCTATCCGGTGCCCCAGATAGAATCAGCTAATGGCCGCAGGTGTTTACATTACAGCAGTTTCTGACAGGGGACTTGAAAGGGTCTTGGTTTTAGTTATAACTATACATCTTCCTCTCTTTCTCTTTCTCACTTTCTTTTACCTCTCTCTCATTGTCTCTGGCTCGCTTACCCTCGCTGTAAGGTCGATGAGGTCAAACTCCCTGGTGCTCCTCCAACAACCCCCCCAGCCTGTGGCTCAGTTTGTGCCCAGAGAGAGGCTGAAAATCCTGGGCAGGACAATAGAAACAGACCCCCCTGTGTTTGGACCTCCATGGGCCTGGTGACAGTCACAGTAAACAGTGGGTACAGGCTGAAACCAGGCTGGGTGAGCTGCACTGAGGGCCCTTTGACAAGGAGAACTAAAGCAGAAATGCAGAACAAACAAAGTCTGAACCTTCCATCGATGAGGCCCACTTAAAAAAAAACAGCCAAAAGAATAGTCTGAATTTTTGTCCGGTATCTAAGATTAAACTGTATTTTGTCTAAGCTACGTGCAACCACTATCATGTTTAAATAATCAACAATACACCCCTGTCAAGACCTCCATGCTTAGATGTAAGACAATAAAGTGGTCAAACAAAACATACACTAATGCCTGCCTGGCGACTGTAGGGAGTGGACACATTTCTGCCAGTTTACCCAAGTAAAGAACCATGGTGAGCTGGACAGCTGTACATCCATGACTGTGATACAAAGGTATTCTATTAAACCTTACATAGCTGTCACAAGATCTTTACATACCATATTTATGGTCATATGCATGTTCCCTGTTTGGGCGGACTTTAATCTTGAATTTTAACCAGTGCAATCTGAGTGCGCACACACTCACTCACTCTCCCCACAGTGATATAAGACAATCTGCACAAAGATACACACCTCCCCACTACACTCCAACAGGTTAGAGCATGATATTATGCTCATTATGCTCATAAGACGGCCACACAGCAGTGGAAACTCTTTTAACACCCCCACAACACAGGAAACACTTTTCAGCCCCTCATAATGTTATTCTCTCCTTCTCTTCCTTGTTATCTCTGAGTTGGTGTTCTTTCTGTCTGCTGGGTTATCTCTATTTAGGAGCTCAAAGGATGTGGTCAGAGGTCAGATTAATATTTATTTCATGTGTTGCCTCAGAGAGCAGCAGGCGGTAGTCTTTTGAAGGCCTGAGGATGCAGGGAGATGGATGAGGATTGATGGAGGGGAGTCTGACCAAGTAGGCCCACAGATGATACAGTAAAACCTTTTTTCAGGGTAAACTGACCCTCAAATGAAGCAGTGTGGGGTCAGGGTGCAAGGGCAGGAGAGGGTGGAGGCACATTTTTTTCCCCTCTCTCCCTCCCTCTCTGTCTGTCCTGTACACCCTTGTCTACGTTTTTGGCGTAACCCCGCTGTGTGCGCTGCACAAACCAACAGCCTGTTAAAACAACCTAGCCAGGTGGAGCTGAGCTTTTGCAAATGTTCCCCTTCTGGTGTCTCACACGTCCAGGGGCCTCATGAACATATGAAACACAGCTGTGAGACAGGCAGAAGAAAGGGAGGGGGTGGGTATATGAAACAGAAACGGCTTTGAAATATTTTTGCTTTAGGTTTTGGGTTTGATGGCTTTTTTATAAATCTGGAGTACTGAGTCCAAATGTGTTCAGTTTCATTTAGTTTGGCACTCAATTTTTAAGAGACTGATGTTCAGAGAACTAAACCTTAAGTTTCACCAGAACTCTTTAGCTAAATTACTATTTGTTAGCTGGTCAATGCTGATGAAAAAAGAAAGAAAATATCTGATAAGACATCTGAGCTTTAGCAAACATTTTACCACTTTAAAAACAAACGCAAATTGGAACTGGCAATTGCCCTATCTCATCTTCGATTTCTACATTATTAGTTTGAGGTTACTATGACAAATCAGTTTCTTGGTAGCAAGACATGCACAGATTTCCTGCTCAGGGTCACATATAGTGTGTGATTTAGTTGCTTCTACTTGCAATCCTTCTTGCTATCACTCAGTACCTACTTTCGCCTGTGTCCGGTATGTCCGGTCTTTCCTGTGCCTGTCTGCAGCCAGGCACAGCACTCAGGAACACCAGTAAAGCTTGGATCTGATTCATAGCTCTCAGCAGTCCAACCAGACCCATCAGTTAGAGTTGGTGTCACTGATAGTCAGAGATACCATCTTAGTTAAGCTTCCCATAATGCTCAAATGAGTAAGGCTTATCCATTGTAGGATGTTATCACTCAGGCACTCTGTCACTTGTGTCATCAGCACAGAGTCCAGGTTTGACACTGAGCTGGTCACTTCACCCAGCAACATACTGATCAGCATCCGTCACTGAGGTGTGAGGGTCTGATAAAGGCCCCTGCAGCTCTAGGAAGAGGTCCCATTTATATTCTTGTCAGCGCAGAGAGAGGCCTTGGCCCTTTGACTCTTGTTCTCATCACTCTGTAATACCGTATTGGTCTGTCACTCAGAGAAGACCCTGGACGATCAGTCAGCTCCTCTTTAGAAAACGTTAAGTCTGAGGAGCCATTAGAGAGGAGATGGCATAGCCAGACTGGCCCAGGCCAAACGCTGATGGGAAACAGAGGAGCAAGGCAGCCTGAGGTAGAAAGCTGGGGGGTAGGGAGTCAGAAGAGGAGGCGGTAGTGGATGTACTGAACTATGTGGATTGTGACGGGGCGGCAGAGCTCTGTTTTCTATTTGTGAGGATTAGGTTGACAGATCTGTATTTAGTTTCTTTGGGCCTCTAGCTGCAGCTAATCCCCCTCACCTGCAGCGGGTGCCCCCCCACTCTTTCTTCTGACCCTGCAGCCCTGTACTTCCCCCATGTTCCCCCCTCCTGGCCAGCACAAACACTCATCCCGAGAAAAGCACATGACTCGTTGCACTCTGTCTCCTCAGGTTAGGGCCTCACACTCCACACAAATCTCTCCGGGGCCAAAGGAACAGCAGGGGTCTCCGACTTTGTAGAACAGAAGAAAAAGGGCCCCTACAACCTGTGGTCTTCCACAAATTAATTTTTTTTTCAGCTTGGGTGAGGGGTTGTACCTCATCACTTAGAGATGGCAATTACTCAGAAATTAAGAGACATTACTATGGAGGCAGCTTGTCAAAACCACTAAGGGGAAAGGGGGAACCTTTGGTAAATCTCCACATTAGGAAATATTCAGGGTCAGGTCAGAGCCAAAGACCTCTTCTCTTTATATTGGAGCTCCCACATACTCAGACCAGGCCTTCACACTGTGCAAGAAAGACCACAACACACACAGCAGCAATTCTAAAAGGTGGGGACTCTAAATGACATAATTGTTATAATATCTAGGCGCATTTCTCTGTTTTAACTGTTTTAATGTGACACAACTGCAAGATGATGTAAGAAACTGGTTTTGAAGGAATGAGCATATTTATAGCATCTTACAGAAACCTAAAACATGTTGGCCAGCATTATTGTTACACACAACCATCATCAAAATTATATTTAAAAATCACTTCCATATGGCTGACAGATACAATATTTGGTTTCTCAAGTACTCTAACCACAGCCAATTAGCCTCCACCCACACCACTGAAACCACCACACACAAACAGAAACACACACATAGTACACTAGACACACCTTTGGGCAAGTAGCAGCAAGCTCACACAAAGGGTCTCATTACAGAGTGCCACAGAGGGTGTTAATGTGGATTTTTCCAAATGTAGGCCCACTACAGTACCTTACATCAATGTGGTGCTAACAGGCCCACATACATTCCTAGATCTTATTAATAGATGCAGCATGCACTGACTTTGACCTGGTGGTGGAAGACTGGTAGCTTCTCGTAGTCATTTCCAGACATCAGTACTTAATGTTGTCTCTTTCGTCTGGTATTTCTACACTCTCGACTGTGACAACCTGATTGCACAAATGCAGAAAGGAGAGCGCATAAAGTAAAAAGTCCAATCACAAGAGATTGTAGAAATGAGTGTTATTATGATGTGGCACATCATTAATGTAGATTGACTAAGTGCAGAAAGAGCACATTCTTTATGAAGAGCAGCAATGCTCCTTGTAAAAAAAAACCAACTCTATTAGAAGTACAATTATTGCATTCAAGGATATAGACTATTGCTAGGAAAATGTAGCACGCCAGAAGTAGTTCTTTCATTGTGTTATTCATTGTGTAGATTATACAACTGAAATGGCTAAATCCTTGAAATAGTACTGAATTCAGGCTACTGTAGCCTACACAGTAGAGCATTTTATTTATGATTGTGTAGTAGGCTATAATCTATCTCTAAGTTATGCATGATATTTCAAAAATTGCCGTTTGGTTGACTGGATTTTGTTACCTAGATATACTAAATCTACTGAATATATTTATACAAAAAGGCTACATTTAGCATATCGTGATGTGCACATTGTCTTATTTTGTAAATATTGCGGTAGTAATTAAACCGTTGTTCAGACTGAATTATTTATGCTGGGAATTTAGCCAATCAATCCCGCGAGATTTCTACAAAATGTTTAAGCGGGAACATCGTGCTGGATGTTTGTAAGGGTACCTACATGGATACAGGAGGTGTGTTAGAGCTGTTTTCTGAAGTTGAAAAGCTCCGTGTTCAATTAATGAACAATGTCGAAGTCATGCCAGACTGCCAGCGTGTCGAAGGAGAAGTCAGTCAGTAGGTTCACAGCACCTGCTCCGGCCAGCTAACGTGATCTTTAGCTTGATTAGCTAGCATTTCATCCTGGTGTCTAGTGTAGTACTATAGCGGCATATGGAGTAATGCTATTCATGCGAAGAGGTTAATATACCAGGTTTCATTTGGACAGTTATAAAATACATAGGTTTAATGATTGATTAGGTTGTCTATGTGCGGTTTAGATAGATTTTACTGTAGTTACCGAAACTTACCAAATATAGCCTACAGTAGCTAGTCAGCTAGTGTCCCGCACTAACAAACCTTTGCCAGGACATATGCTAACGTCACCTGTTTCATGGACTCTTTTGAGATGAGCTGCTCTTCCCCTGTGGGGCAGTAGCAAAAGCTGAATTCAAGTTTAGGACCCCTCCGTCCTAAGATATTACAGTTCTTAGTCACTTTAGTACATTTCTCAGATCAGAAATGAAATTCTCTAAACTAGCCTACTTGTTCAACTTCGACATCATTTAGTCATTTGTGCACATCATATAAACAATTTCTCATTGCTTTTGAACAAATTGCAAATGCTTTGATACGTTACTAGTTGCTTATGTCATGTTGATCAACATGCATTCTACTGTTGAATAGTCTTACCTCCCAGAAGAACTAGTCACTGTCTCGTTGCAGATGTCATTACATGCAAAATGGGTGAACTTGTTGTCTTGTATAAGTCAAGCATATATACAATTATACAGCTCTATCAAGCCACATGTGTTAATGTATATCAACCAGTTCTCTACTGTAAAATAGCTGAGGTGTATCTCATTAACCTTCAATTGTCAAGAATATAGGCAGAGCACAACACAGTGTTACAATATCTGACAATGGAAAAACTAGGAAATGAACCATGTCAGCTGCTGGGAAGAAGAAGAGGAGTAGGGCTATGTGGTGGAAGGGTTGAGGACCAAAGCAGACCAATGGGAGAAGAGGCCAAGGACACAAGCATGTTCCCAATGAAATAAAAGCCACACTTGTCGACCATATTTTTAGTAACGCTTTATAAATTTAAATTTAGACACTTCACTTATAAGAGTTTGGCTTCTAGTGTGTGAATTTTGATTTCTGAACATAAAATTTGGTTAAAATAACAATTTGATAAGTACAACAGGAATTCCTATTGTGTTGAGTGAATGAAAACACAATATGTTTCCAAAGTAAAGTAATTGAAAGATGGATATAGTCAGCAATAAATCTCAACACAACTGCACAGGGCAAGACGAAAACAAATGTACCGCTGTTGAGTCAGCAGACACATATCAGTATATACTGTGGTACAGTACAGTATGTATTACACTATTGTGGGCAGTGATATGAATCAGTTACCAGGACTGTTTCATGGCAATATTCAAGGTAGCTTAATTTCTCAGGTGTTCCATTTATTTGGATTAGTCAAAGCAGACATTTCTATTTAATTGTTTTGCCCATTAACTGTTCCTCAGATTTTCCAAAAGATGTAGGATACTGGATAATTACAATCTAATATTGCTGAAGCATCATGAAAAAACTTAAGAAGCGCTATGCTAGGTTTTTGCCAGTCCATATTCAAATCTGTTATCAATTTTCATTTCTCTCTGTTGTTTTAAGGTAACTTGACTGACTGCTGCAATATTCATGTTTTTGATATATTGTCATCCTCACTGTATTGTTACTTTCAGCAAGGAAATTTTGACCTGCATTGAAAACATAATCCTAGGAATAGTGACCAGTCTGTCCAAAGATGAAGCCCCTATCCTGGCACTGCCCAACAGATCCAGCTGGGCCAATATCAGGTAACTTGACTTAGAGGCACATAGCATGCTGAAAAGTTTTTTGGTCTGCACGCTCAACACTGCAGTCGTCTGTGTAACCTTTAAAGGATAAACATAAGCAGTCCTGTTGTGTAAAGAAATACACAAACTTCCATCTGTATACATTAGGTTTTTGGGAGGTCAGGCCAGATAAGATGATCTGATTGCACTTTAATGTCCTTAAAGAGGAAATGCACCCTTCAGCTCTGTCTGAATGTGCCCACTGCATGAATAACCAGGTGGGTTAAAAACAAAACTCAAAGAGAGACTGAAGTTGAAACAACTTCCTGCGCTTAAAAGATGATGATAAGGAATTGAAAAGCACTGGCCTAAACACGTACAGAAACACAAATTTGCACAGTGCTTTAATGTGGCTGGTCTGCATAGGCCTTATGCTCAGAACAAAGCAGACTGTCTGGTCTTGTTTAGAACAAACGTTGCTGCAGCCTACAGCACATTCTGGCTCAGCCTGAGTGCCAGAGGTTTCACAGAGGAATCAAGACGGTGAGATGTGGGGGAGGCCTCCTGCCTTCTCACAGGTAGCCCTCAGGGTGTGGGGACATTTAGATGGATTACAGGTGGTAGCCGATTTTCAAAGCTGAAAAAGTAAATGTAGCGCATGCATGATCTGTATACATATTCTGTAACAGCCAATTTTCTTTCCTTCTTTTCCAAATGAATTCCCATACGTTTTTCTTTCATCACCTGCTTAAGTTTTGACAGTGCCATCGGGCTTCAGATGGTTTCAGGAAGTTCTATCACCACCATTAGGAGTGACTGTCCTTCATCTGTCACTAAATTTGGTGAGAAGATACACACACTTCTGTTCTATTTTGCTTCTTGTGCGATTTTTATGTTCTTGACACCCGACATTGCTTCAGTCATATAAAACCTTTACAGTTGTACTTCATGTGGCTTTCATTTGTATTCTTATAAGCTGCACAAACAGCAGTAAAAGTCAGGCCTACTTTTAGGTGACAAATTGGCTGAGACAGAACATTTTGAAAGAGGCTTTTAGTGGTTGCTTTGCCACATGGATATCCTAATTAAGAACAATTTTCTTTTCACTCTAGCCCTTTAAAGATGTGATATAACACCCAAGACAGTGTTGAATGTTTCAGATAATATTAATCGTTTTTATTTGTTTCTGTTTCAAGCACAAATAGTCAAGATTCTCTCCGTCATCTACAGACTTGTCCAGAGCAACTCGTATGCGACGAAAAGGTGGTTATTTCACCATCAGTTCACTGTTTAAATAAATTAATGAATAAAGCCAGATAAAATTCACACTCTGTACATGGCTGGCTGTTTTGTGAAGAAGTTGTGTTTTGCTCAGTTACTGCTGAATGTGAGCTCATGAAGATTTACCTGTTTCCACAGAGACATCTATTACAGCAATACACAGCTCTTTGGTTCCCAGTCAGCCGTTGATAGTATAGTGGATGATATCTCCTGCATGCTGAAGGTTCCTCGCAGATCACTTCATGTGGTGAGTGTGTCCATGTAATGTAAGAGACCATTTATAATATGACTCAATGGCAGAAAAGACAGACCTCAGACATTAATGCCTTGTAGCAAATTCCAAGGCATTTGCTTTGCTGTTATTAGTTCAGGTCCCACAGATGAAATCTGTTAGGTTAGCATGGCATTTTAAGCATTTTGTTCTGCTTCATATCTCAGGAAACACCTGTGGAAAACATTTGGTCCTTGTGATCAGACAGAAATTGATTTTGTTTGAATTCAGTGAGGCACACTAAGAGGTACATGTCCATGTGTATGTGAGAACATGACCATGCATTAACTTGAGTATGTGCAACATTTATGTCACCAGTTGGCCACTTCCAAGGGATTGATCTCAGGTGATCTGTGTTACATGGAGGAGGACGGCACAAGGATCGACTGCTATTCCAGCTCTACTGTAAGTGCTGTTAACAGACACCAACTGCCCCGTTGACTGAGAAACATGACATCAACTATAACTTAAGCCCCTCTCAGACACGGTAGTCATGAATCTGCAGGCTGCATATAGCTGTGTAGCGGATGCTTTTTCGGCATTCAGACATAGAGCTGCCAGCGAAGCTTTGTTCAGATATAGCAGGACCTAGCACAGCAGACACACAGAGGATGACCAGTTCTTTGATTACCATGTTGGAGCAATTTCCAGACATTCTGCATTAGCTCATGATGCTAAACTGTATCTTCTCTGTGCCAGTTCAAAATAATCTTTGTACATGCTAGTGATGTTAATGTTCTTTTTATATTTGAGGGGGGTGAAGATACAGTTTAGCACCATGAGCTCCCATAAAGAGAGGGAGCAGCAGTAGCGAGAACAAAGCAGTGCATCAGAGAAAAGGCTGTGTGCGGGTGCATCTTGAGTAGTAGTATCATCCTCTTGAGCGTGCCCTTACTGGCATTTTGACCACTTCAATTCAGACATGTAGCCAGATAGAAAGTAGTCGGCTATGTTCACTTGTTTTAATTATATCGCCTCCCTCCACAGTCCTGTAGAACATGTGATATAAACAATATGCAAATATTGCTCTACATTACAGTTAAAAACCAACGGTATTACTACAAGATATGGCTTAGGAAGGAATAAATTCAAGTGACAAACATCTTTTACTGGTTAAACCAGCTCTTGTGCCTGTGTTTTAGGCTGCTGCGGTATCATCAAATATAGCTGGGATTAGAAGTATCCTTTGTAAGGTGACAACTTTACTGTGTTTGTGGAAGAGAAAACTTTGTGTCTGTTTCTGCATGTGTCTTATCTTTGTTCACTCTTTCTGTGATGACCATTACAGCCCCTTGGTCGGAGGGTCTTTGTTTTCCTTGACCTTATTCAGATATTGTATCATCTGCAAAATTTGTATTGATCGTTGAAAAGGATGCAACATTCCAGAGACTGCTGGATGACGACTTCTGCACAAAGCTCTCTCCCTGCATCATGATCACGGTGTGGCTTTGAATGTTGTCTCTTCTCAAACAGGGGTAGTAACAGTATTTTGTGTACATAACAGGTGTGTGTTTGTGTGGATCAGGGTAAAGGCGTGCCAGATGTGAACAGCAGGCTGATGGTGAGGAAGCTCTGGGACACGCTCCATATTCCTGTCTTCGCTCTTGTAGATGCGGACCCTCACGGTACACATCATGTCTGAGTACAAACCAGTTTTACGTCTCACACATAATTTGCTTAGTTTCCCATATTCAACAATACAACTCTTTTCTTCATTGTACACACACTGTAGGGTTGCATGTCCCACTAAGCCCCCAGATGTTAGCACCTGTCCAGTGCATCATGATGCTTAGTCTGGCTATCATTTCAACTGGGATGGTTCTGTTTCTGTCAGTCTCCATACTTCCAACCCTTTTCCATGGCGAGACACATATGTAATACGTTACTTTGTACTAAGCTCAAAGGATAATTGCTCTGGTATGTTGGTGATTACAGCATTTCTGCCTCTCCCTCTGATTTTCTTAGGCATTGAGATCATGTGCATCTACAAGTACGGATCAGTGGTGAGTCCCACCATGTCAGTTATTCCTGTACTGTATATTATCCATTGTGGCCTGTTCAGTGTCTCCGTGGTGGCAGCATGTAATTATGCATCCCTTTAAGTAAAAATGGATCAAACATCCATCTCAGAATATTTGAACTGACTTGGTATAAAGTGAAAATGTTGAGCGTGTGGAAATCTCTTTGTACGTAGATCTGTGCAAAGTTTGTGTAATCGTTATTGTGTTCATTAACTACATGTTTAAGCATAACCACATTATTAAGGTACAGTGCTGATTATCTGTGTGTTTATTTGTGATATGCTGTACTTTGCACGTGTTGTGTGACTGGGTGTGTGTTTGTGTGGGCGCGGGTTTTTTCGCAGGCCATGTCTTTTGAGGCCCACAGTTTGACCGTCCCCAGCGTTATGTGGCTAGGCCTCCTCCCCTCTGACCTCCAGAGGTTTGGACTCAACATTCACTACTTCCTACTTCCTCCTCCTGCCTCTAATTGGGATTATATTCTGAGGACATTTTGATTGTTTGTTTTGGTTACTGGTTTTCTTTTTTCCTCTCAGGAACTGCATCTGAGAGCATACTGAGCTTTAAGTATATGTCCCCTTGAACAAATTTAGGACATAAAGGCTTGTCAGATGTCAGAAGGCTTATGTTCCACCATAAACATGCACATAATATAATGAAAGTCTATTGAGAGTAAGAGGAAACATACTGTAGGAATGACATCCATCAGCAGAGCTGCCTGCTGGCATTTACAAAAAATTAATCAGATCAAGTGTAGTAAAATTAACATTAAATTCTTTAGGTTGCGGGTTCCTGAAGATGCCCTGATCCCCCTCACCAAGAGAGATGAAAGCAAACTCAGCAGCCTTCTCAAAAGGCCCTACTTAACCAGCCAACCAGACTGGCAGAGGGAGGTGAGAGAGCAAGCAAAGTGCTTAAAGTAACTAATAGGGGTTAGTGTTTGAGAGCTGCAGTAAGTGTGATGAACAAAAGTAACTGAAATGTGTCACTTTAAGTAGCATACTGTAGTTTGTGTGGTTAAAGGATTCACTAATATTTATTTACATATAGCTTTTGGGGTGTCCTATTGAAATATATGTATTAGTCATAACCACTGTGAGACTTCATATACTTTAGATTGTTTTGGTCCCAGTTGAAGCAAAAAAAAACCATTTGACTCAGTGGGATGAATGTCAGTTTTAACTTTGTGGTTTTCAAAATGAACTATAACATCAGTTAAAAGGATAATGCTGTGATATTTTTGAACACTGCTTTGTGGGCCTGTTTGATAAAATGTTAGTCTAAAGCCCCCTGCCCCCTTTTTGAAAAGGGGAAAAAAAGAAAAGTTCTTCCTCAGAGGTTTACACAGTTTGCTCATGTGACACATGGCAGAGGAATGTCGGTGAGAGGGCTCTTAGCTGGTACTGAGGACAGAATAGCCACTCTGCTGTGGAGTGGCTGTTAGGGATAAACACCTGATGATTTATGCTTGTTTTCATGGTTTGCTTTTGCATGTCTAATAAAACGGTGTGTTTATTCTTTCTGCAGATGGAGTTGATGCAGCAGACTAAGGTAAAGGCTGAAATCCAGTCCCTGGCAGCCATAGCTCCGGATTTCCTCACCAACACCTACCTGCCCAACAAGCTGCGTTATGGAGGCTGGGTGTGAGCGCAATGCTGCCACCTAGTGGAATAAGGAGTGAACTGTGCTGCCTACTTTGTCAAAAAAAAAAATTAATTTAATTTTGTTTGATTTGTAATGTTTACACATTGATCAGTGAATGTGTGTTTCTTTGTTTTGGAAATGCCTCATTATATCATTAAAACCCCTGTAATCCCACTGAGAAATCTGAGCATTTTGTTGCTGGCTTTGTTTATATTCCCAAGATGTTTGGACCTGCTGGTGCACAAACATACAAAACCACAGAGCATGCTAGTGCAAAGACTGGAAGTGAGCAGATGAGAATGATGATTTAGTGGTTTGGAATTGACTGTTGATTCATTACAACAAATCTGGGCTCCTGCTGCTGTTCTTTAATATAATCTGTTCTCCAGCAGATGGAGAAAGTTTGGATTAAATGGAAGGATGAGGCAATATCTGAGCTTCATCAGGGAAGGATGATTGCTCCTCTGTCCTTTTTCTGTTCTTTTACTTAAATATTTTAAAACATTTTTTTCTGCCAGCAATGAAACATTGCCTTGATGAGCCGATACTGATTATAGGTATTTAAAAAAAGAAAAAAGCTCTTCAGTTTCTTTCTTAGTTATGCAGCCAGAGATGCTGCTTGACCTGATGCCAGCAGAGAAAAAAGAAGTTAAAAGCAGCTGTACAAAGATGGTTTTGGCGCTGTAAGGAAAAATGTCATCACCAGTTTTAAAATAAAATCATGTTTCAATTGATGACATTGTGAATATTGAAATAATTATCAGAATGTGTGGAACAGATGAATCTAGTAGTAAATGAAAGCTGTGTAGAGTTCATTTTAGCTTATCATATGTAGATCTTAAATCTGCTGTGATTTGATTTAATGTAACCAATGATCTTAACATCAACAGTGACCTAGCCCCTCCCTGTTTTCTAACATGAGTGGGACCTCTGTTATAGCTTGTGCATCTGCTTTACATGAGTAGCTGTTAGACAGCTCTTCATACAAGACATGTCTTCAAGAGGCCTTCGCTTTTCCACTTGTCAAAGACAGCTGACTACAGAGCAGAGTGAAAGCAAGTAGTCTTTCTGGCTTCTGACATAACATCCTCTCTGGTCTTGGAGGCCACAGACTAGTGTGCAGTCAGCCATGTCTCACAAGGCGTTTTCCATCTGTTATATCAACGTGGACCAGGACGTGTTCAGGTACAAAAAACTGCCTGTGTGGCATTAGGAGACAACTGAGAGGAAGATGAAGCATTTTTATATGAACAATTTTGGTTGAAGTTTCCTGAATAGTTACATCTTTTCACATGGTCAAAGTGGTGCCATTAATAACTGTACAGTGTTATTTATTATTCAGGTACAGTTTTCTTTATCGCACTGACCATCTGTCTTCATTTGTTGTCTGATAATGTTAGTTAAAAGTAGCCAGGCACAGGTTATATTATTATTATCTGACCTTTATGGAAAAAAAATAATGGATGTGTACTTTGCTTACTTTGAAAATGTACAGGAAAAATGTCTTGGCACATTTTTAATGCTCCATTTTTTCCTGTTCCATTTCTACTAATGGTATCTCATATGGACGGTGATCCATCGGTGCCCTTTCCTACTGTTGTGGCTAGTGCTTTCCTGCAGCTGGCTGGGAATTCATCACTGGGGAGCAATGCCCAAAAGTGCTGTGTGATGACTGATCCGGCCTCCAGACATCTGGTCCAAGCTCTGTCTTCTTCTATGTCCAAAGGCACTTCAACAAATGATGGTCAGTCATAAGGAGAACATTACTTTTATTAGTGCATCCTTTTTAATATGATTCATTGCTAGATTAGTAACATTAGTGGTCATTTAAATGTAAACAAATGATCTATATCAGGGGTTTTCAACCAGTGGTCCACAGCTCCTTGGTGGTCCGTTACCATTCAATAATGTAATTTCACTATAGGAATCATGATTTTTTTTTTTTACACATTTCTATGTATTAATTTGTTTTTGTGGATAATGAAATTCATCCAAATATATAAAAGTTAGAAAAGCCAAGATGACTTTCAAGATTAAATAAGTGCTCATCTGGTCTACCCATCACACAACAGTGGTCCTCAGGTTGCTTCGTAGTCACAATGGCGGTCCCTGGCCCACAATCAGTAGAAAACCCCTGATCTATATTATATTTGGTGGGTTGATTATAATTAAGAACTTTGCCTCTGTGCTGTATAGATCCAAAGCATGAAGCCAGATTGACTCCAGTACCCACCATGCCACCTGCTGACCAGGCTGTAGGTTCTATATGGCCTTTTCTGGCTGCAGAGATAGTGCAGAAAAGCAACAGGGTAGTAAGAGAGGCCAGTGGGGAGCTGCAGGAGGACGTCCCAGAGGCGCACTCTTTCTGCACGGGTCTTTACACATGAAACAAAGATACTCTTGCCAAAGAAAACTCTTCATTCAACTCTCATTTTCTTCCCTTCCAGCAAGACTGTACTTATCGTGCTGGTCCAGGAGGCACATGAAACTTTTCAGGGAGGAGTAAATTCCTCATGGGACTTGAATATGAGCTAGCTGACACACATGGCAAGGATACTGGACTACTGTTCACCTCCTGCTTTGTAGCTACTGACAGCCATGTTTCAGTGATTCAGGGTAGAAGAAACAGTGGGGTCAAGAAGTTTATCTTCCGTCACAATGACGTCAGATCTAAGTACTGACACGTGACACAAAGTATTTTATTGCATTGAGCAGTCTTTACATAAAACCCTCGAGGTGGCACACTACAGAGGCTATACAGCAAAGAGTTTGTTTGTTAGTATGTTTAATTCCTTGGTTGAACTTAAGATTACGATATTCACACGAATCAATAATTATCACTTCCAATTCGGATACATCATTAGCAATAAATCCAGTGTGTGGGTTGCTTAAGCATAAATATTAATTATTAGTTGTTACCAAAGGCTTCATTTATGTCCAGCACTTTAGTTTTTATATTATTTGCAAGTATATTTCATTCTTTGCATCATAGCCTTGAGCTGAAATTTTATTCAAATGTCAAGATTCTAGGTAAAAATTTACAAGTGGCTATAGGTGAATCTATATTCTGTAAAATAAAATAATGAATTACAGATGAAAAAATGTCTGACCTAAAGTTCTGATGCAATTACAAAACAGCATACATCAGATTTCCTTTATTACTTTTATAATTTCAGTGATTTGTATAATTTAATAAAATCCAACATGGCATTCCGTTTCAGTAGTTTTATCTCCCACCCCCCGACCACCTCTTGGGGGGCACCGTTACTTATAACAACTTAGAAAATGTATGGGGGGTTAGGTGGGTTGTCTTATGTGACAGCTAATGTTAATTAGGCCATACAATATATGTGTTATGCAACATCTGATCTACTAATTTGAATAGTCTGAACATTTCATACTAGACGTTTTAAGTGCACAAGTACAAAATGACTGAGGTAACAGATGGAATGAAATTTCCCACCTCAGCCCAATCCAGTTATATAGACAGCATACATTCTTTAATCCCTAATGTGGTGCAATCATGTTTTTGTGTGTTCATACAGTTTTAGGTGTATGCATTTATGGTGATACTCAGGATGTATATAAATGTATATGTGAACTATTACATTACATGTTCTTGGCAAAAAGATTAGCTGTCATATGTGTTCCAATGTGTCCTTGAATGTGAAATTGTGTAGTGCTGCTCATGTATAATCAGGAAGGCCGTTGTGTGGTCATTTACCATTTACCATTTCATCTAGCTGTTCATTCATAAAATGCATTTCACAGTGTTCTCACTTTCACCACATGGAGGCACGTTGAGTCTCCCATTTGCAGCTGTAAGGCCGTTACGTCAGACACCACCTCCCTCTGCAGATGACTCATAGCTGGTGCAGCAGCTTTCATGATGAGCCGCTAGATGGTGTCAGGAGAGAACATGATATTGTGTTTCTATCTAGATAACATGGGAGATCACTTAAAATGCAGCGGACACACTTCCATGTACCTCACAGCATGTGTCCTCGTATTAGACATGTAAAACCAGATGCTGTGGAGCATTTTAAAAGAATGGGATTGTCAGACATTATTACCATTAATGTAGCAGCCTTATTTTAGATAGCTTTTTCATACAAGGTAGTATTGTTTTACTTATATATTCTATATTATTAAACTACTTGAATTAAAGCCCTTTACTTCCCACTGTACATCTGCACATGACAGAAGTGTGTCTGTGTGCCCACCGAGTATGCGTGAAAGCCCTCAAAGCAACACTTGACATGCAAAACCTCAAAGATGTTTCCTCTCTTTCCTCCGAGAGAATTACCTACTGTGGGCTCAGGCTTGCAGCACATTATGTAACCAGTGCTGGTGGAAGTAGAGCAGTCAGGTGACCAGCACTGTCATGCAAGTCCAGGCAGCTCAGAATCAAGCTTTGAGTTGCAATGCTGTAGCTACAGGCTGGGTTGTTCAGGTGATTTTGGTTTCAAATATTAAGACATGAGTGGCACGGTGGAACAGTGGTGTGTGTGTGTGTGTGTGTGTGGTTGTCTGTCTCTAAGCCCTGTGACAGACTGGCGACCTGTCTTGGTGGACCCTGGCTCTCGCCCTGTGTCAGTAGGAACTGGCACCTGCCCACCACATGTAATAAGCGGTATAGATAATGGATGGATATTAAAACATATTCCTTATGTGGTTCATAAAGAAGCACATCCTTTCCTCTAAACCAAATCTTGATTTATATACTGTAAATCCAGTAAGCCTCCAAATGGCGGGAAAGACTCCTGTGTGCATTGTGTGATGCACTGTTAGTTGCAGGCTGCTCAGTTCCTCATTGTGAAAAATCTGATAATGAGTATTAGGGAAGATAACAACAAACTTCTGCAATGAAATCTGCTGCTCTTCTGCAACAACATGCATCACTAATTCAAAGTACAGAGTGCACTTGTAATCCTTTAGTTGGTATGATACAGCTAGTATTGTTCTGTGAGGTTACGTACTGTATAGATGTATAGTTATGGCATCAGATAAAATACAGTGTCATAGGACTTGTTTTTCTAAAGGGCTTCAAACTTAAAAAAAATATAGGTAAAAGGAATGTATCTTTCGCAGTAATAACACATTAACATGTGTAATAATACAGTCCTCTTGTTTGTCATGTGGGATGAGGTGGGACAAGAATTTGTACTCTCAAAAATAAGAATCAAGGAAGCTGCATGCCAGTAGTGTGCAAGATTATCTGTATATTAACTCAGACGAACTTGAGCCCCCATGGAAGTGACACTGAAAATAATTAAAATAAGTTATACAAGGGCACTAGATGGTGATTTGGTCGCCTAGAACAGAACTTATTTAGTCCCTTGGAAACATGTAAGAATCACATCTAGTGATTTTCAATAAACTTGCCATAATATCACAGACAGAACTGTAACGACAATGTTATAGCGATTGCCGAAATGATTCATCTGGGACCTACTCATACCAAACTTTGAGATTGTTCTACTATGACTTTAAATCATAAGGAACAAACTCCTCCCTCTCTACTGTCAAGTAAAAAAACCTCCCATGCATCGGAATGGTAAAAAGAGAGTGTACATGGAGGAGCCCGGTAACATGGGAAGTAGTTGAAGTTGATGAAGAGATTATTGGCTCTAAAACAGTCACGTTTAAACTTGTATCTCGTGAATCCGAGGCTAAATGGGTCTCCATTAGCCCCGGGGCAGGTCCAACTCACTGACTGATGGAAACAGAGAAGAGGAAAAAAGGGAAATCTGTTCTCTCAAGCTGAAGCGCCATGCACTGGCCGGGCACAATCTCACGCGTCCGGTTTTCTGGTGAAATGTAGTTTATGGTCGTGCGATGGAGCATGTAGTAAGTGTTTGCGCTCGCATGTAGTATGCTATTGAGTCCGATATGTCTAATGTGACGCCGAGTAAAAGCGTGGAATGGCTGCAGCTGGAGTTAGAGTCCGGAGGCACTTCTCTGCTCCTGCTCGACTGCCGTTCACATGAGCTTTATGAATCATCCCACATAGAGACCGCCATAAACCTGGCTATACCGGGGCTAATGCTCCGGAGGTTCAAGAAGGGCAACATACCTATCCGGACTATCATCCCCAGCCATGAGGATAAGGAGAAGTTCATTAAGCGGTGCAAGACGGACACGGTGGTCCTGTACGACGAGTGCACCGTGGACCTGCAGGCAAGTGGATCCCCGGCGTCGGTCCTGGGTCTGCTGCTTCAGAAACTATGGGAGGACGGCTGCAAAGCATATTACTTGGAAGGTAAATAGGGTTGCTGGCGAATTGATCCAAGCAACAACGTAACTGCACTTTTTAATATCTTTAAAATAGATAACGTGACTTATTTATAGTGTGTTTGCGATTGAGTTCATAACGTAGCTATAAGTTAGTAGTGACGTTAACTGACACCCCTTTAACATTTTATCCGATCACTAAAATGTTATTTGCAAGTGTCAAGCTAGTTTATGCTCATTAACGTTAGCCTAGCTCCATAATAAACTGAATTAAAGGCTACCGACTTGTTTTTTCGGAAGCGATAAATGCAGCAGACGTTTTTACGGGAAGGTGGTTTAAACTTTCAAATGGCGACATATTAATAAAAACTAGACTGTAATGTTTAATAGTCTTCATTATCGTTGTGTTACAAACGTTGACGCCGCTTCTGCGCTAAAGTTCAGGCGTTCCGTACATGTGTTGTGGGTTTGTAGGCTGTTCAAAACTTTATTGTGTGTCACTGAGATTCTCAATTAAAATTCCAAAATGGCCGCGCCATGTTTTGCTCTAGCAGGAACAGGCATGCATTTCATGAATGGTCTTTTAGAGGGGAACGTGAGCTCCTTCTTTAAGGCTCTGCTTCAGTACCCAGTTATTTTTTTATTTTAAAAAACTAAAATTAGTCATTTATATGAGGTCTTACTTTTTTTTTTTAAGTCATTTATCAGACTTTGACTGTTGTGTTCTGCTGTGTTGTGTTCTGGCTCTTGTCCAGGGGGATTTACAAAGTTCCACACAGATTACCCAGAGCACTGTGAGACTCTCCTCGACAGCTCCTGTCCCAGCTCCTCTCCTCCGCTGTCAGTTCTGGGTCTTGGAAATCTTCGGATCAGCTCAGATTGTTCTGACGGGGAGTCTGATCGTGAGCCGAGCAGTGCCACAGAGCCTGAGGAGAGCCCCATCCCAAGCAACCAGCCTGCCTTCCCTGTCGAGATCCTTCCCTACCTTTACCTGGGCTGCGCCAAAGACTCCACTAACCTGGATGTGCTGGGCCAGTACAACATCAAGTACATCCTGAATGTCACACCCAACCTCCCCAACATGTTTGAGCACGACGGCCACTTCAGGTACAAACAGATTCCCATTTCGGATCACTGGAGTCAGAACCTGTCCCAGTTCTTCCCAGAGGCCATATCCTTTATAGGTAAGTAGCTCAGTTCCTGTCTTTTTAAAACAACATTTACAGACACACTCGCACTTTTCAAAAAAAGTGTTCTTAGTTTGTGTTGTTTGTCTTGTCAAAAAATAAGCCTATGTAAGCAGGGTACCTTTTAGTGTATGAGACCTATACCGAAGTAATAATTAAGTCATCGTTTGCTAGTTATGTTTAATAATAATGTAAAATCAATACTGGCAAATTATTTATTGACAGCAATTATGTGGTAAGCTGGTTTATGGCAGGTGGGCTGCTGTCAGCTGTTGTATCACTGAACTGCTTTTATACAGAGCAAAAACTCTTTACTCTTGAAACCGAACAGATCTTTTGTTGGTGGTACCACAACCTTATGTTTCAGTTTCATTTTTCACTCATCACATCTTACCATGACTGCACCTGAAACCACAGAAAGCGCAACTTGTTTGTTTAGTGGCAGCCGGGTTTTCTGTGATGAACTAGTTTCCACAGAGCTTTAGAGGTAAAATGAGGAAGGAAGTTCTGTTTCCACTCTGGTGTTGTGTTTGATTGCAGGGTCACAACTTAGGTGAAGTTGACATTTGTTTGCTAATGTCTTTAACTAACAGGATATTAGATACACTGTTTACTAGTTCACATGGACTATTAAAACAATAATTGAGCCTCTCAGTCAACAACAGCGCCTTATTGTGCCATCGGCAGTGTTACTTGTTGTGTCAACACTGAGCCAGATCACACTGACAAAAGCCCTTAAACATTGTAGCACGAGGAAGTATGAATCAATCAAAATTTTTAAGATAGTTTTAAAAGTGCAAGGGCAGAATTGCTGTCCTTCCGGCGGAATATAGTTTTCTTTTGCTCTCACAGACGAGGCTCGATCGAAGCAGTGCGGCATCCTGGTGCACTGCCTGGCCGGCATCAGTCGCTCAGTCACAGTAACCGTGGCCTACCTGATGCAGAGACTCAACCTTTCACTCAATGATGCTTATGACTTTGTCAAGAGGAAGAAGTCCAACATTTCACCGAACTTCAACTTCATGGGTCAGCTCCTGGACTTTGAGAGGACATTGGGGCTGCACAGTCCGTGCAATAACCGTTCTGCCAGCGAGGAGCAGCTCTTCTTCACCACACCGACCAATCACAACGTCTTCCAGCTGGACACACTGGAGTCGACATGAGGATTGATTGGACAGCTGTTTTGTCGTTTCCTGCGGTGTCTCGGAGGTTTTCCGAGCCTGTCAGATGCCTAGCTAGCTGACACAAGGAGGAAGTCATTCACAGTATTTCTGCACCAAAAGGAGCTACAATGATTTGTTAAAGGAACAGCACAAAGAACACACTGCCTTAATGACTAACACAAGGATGAATTTTACTCTCCACATGGCATTAATGAGTGGTCATGTACAGTCATAATAGCAGGACATTTCATAACTTGTCTGTTAAATCTGGGACTGTCGTTTGACTAGCACTTGTTATTCACCAGCTGTAAAATGGACGTTCATGCATATCTTTGTATCAGTTATGATTATTGCCTTGATGGTCTAAAAGGAGTCTTTAGCTAATCGGAATGTTTTCTGGGGACCAATCTGAGATGTTCTGGTGGTACTCTAGCTGAGGGAATAAGCTACTGCAGTGACCTTGAATTATCATCCAGTTTCATTTCTGATGTCTGGTTACAACTCTCTTGCAATAGAATGGCATAACCTTTGAAAGCAGGGTTTTTTCAACTTCTTTTAGTCAGAAAACCTTAACTAATCTAATATCTGGCAAATACCACAGTGTTAGCTATGTGGCCACTTGTTGTGAAATAATGTTAAAACATACTGTTCTTCAGAAACCCTACTAAATATTCTGTTGCTTACAACTGCATTTAATTACCTTCTACCAAGGACCTTCTTTTATAACCTTTTACATCATATTGCCTGTTGCTGTTGAGGCCTTGACCATGCCAGAAACTAAAATTGATCTAGCTGTCAGTTACCAAGTCAAGGTATAGCCTAGTGTAGGGCTGGATAAAAAAAAATCTTCTGATTAATTCTGATTTTTAAAATCCCAAGATCGATCGTTGCGTTTGTGCCTTTTCTCAGTAAACATGCACATCTGTGATAAATGTTATGTGTATGCTGGTTCAGCAAAATGTTTGAAGAAACTGTGTTATTACAACATTCAGTAAAGGTTATTTAAAGTTAAAAAGAAACATAGATGACAGCGGGCTAAATGAGCTGTCTTGAGTCACAACACTCCTGTAAACCGCCACATGAATACTGACAGTCTATGCAGACCAACCCCGGTTTACTCCCGATGGTTTGCTGGCTCTGGCCATCTGGTAACAAATCTACAGATCACATCTGCAAGAGGGGTAGACTAAAGCAGCACAGACTAGTTAGGACATTAATATTTCTGCCCTGTGGGTGATCAGACTGATTAAAGTGGATTTCTAGACTTAGTTGAAAGTCCATATGTAACTCTATGGATTAGCATTTATTTCTCAAATATGCATAGCAATGACACCCTCGAACGTGGTGAATGTTTTTTTAATCATGTGTGTTTTGCACACATAGGCCTAACAAAATACAGTTGTGTCATGTTGTAGTCATTTTGCATTTACCAAGGAAAATAGATTCTCGATCCATATAATTGGAAAATGTGTTTACAGTATAGCCTATAAGCACTTTACACAATTTTATACAACAATGTTGCTCACTTGTTGAATGGAAAACAAATTTAAGTTCCCATGATAAATACTGAGAAGCTCTTTTTTACCACATTGATATTTATATGATGTAAATGATTAATCAAGAATCGAAATTAACCAGTTCGGGACTTTGTGACTCAAAATCAAAAATCAGGAGATTAGTGCCAATATCCAGCCCTAGTATAGTGTATACTGTAGGAGTGGTTTTAACCACAAAGGAACAATTGTGTAAGTAAACAGTGTGGTTGTCCACTTTATTTTTTACTCTTGACAGTCTTCAGGCTGCAGCTACTCCTTCTGTGGCACTTTGATATTAAGGGAAACATGATGTGTAATTAGCTGTTCTCTATTGCCAGTCTCGTCTCAGAACAAATGCATGAGTTTGATGTGTAACAGGGAGTGAAAGGAAATGAGTCTGACTAATGTGTTCTTACCTCACTGAGAGACATTTTCAGGGATTTTTATACAAGGCATCTGTATCTTGTCATGGCCTCTTAAAGTGCATCCAAGGGCTGTTTTGTTTGGTATGTTTGTGTATATGTACATAAAGTCAGGTCGTTATGGGGGACATTTTCTCAAAATCATGAAGGATGCGAAAGTGGCCCTATTTTGAACCTTATGTACAGTATATGTAAAATTAAATGTCTAAGACATTCTGTATGCGTTTCTACAACAAATATATTGTATATTTTTACTTGAATGTTGTTTTATGGCTTTGTTTGACTTTGGATTTTTTGTACTGAAAGTCAATAGCACGCATTCATAAAACAAACAAAAAGGGTTGCGTGGTTCAGTCAGTACGAAAGAATCAACTGAGAATTGTGTGTTACGCTGCGCAACCCCTGTTTTCTGTCCACTATGATGCTTGGCTTCCTGTCACCGCAAGCTTTCGCACACAAAGACAAGTGACAGGGCTAGATCTGTCAATACCACAGTGCAACCACACCCACTACCAGCCACTCAGCCAGAGCTTAAAGGAAGAGGAAGGTGACCGCATATACTGTACTCTACCACAGAGACCAGCTAGAAAATGTCATTCAAGTGTTGCACATGAGTCATTTGATGTGTGTTAGCCTCAGTTAAGCATTTAGTTTTTTTGTTATTATGATTTTAAGTATAAGAATATGTGAAGCTATAAACACATTTAGTTGTCTGAAAAAAGAGGAAATGAGAATTCCCAAATATCTACACATACACATTTACATAATTTGTCTTTTACTATTCTCACGGAACAATTTTAAAAGGACACCAAAGCAAAATTGTATTTATTGCTATATTCAGTTTGAAAGTTACCACAAGTCAAACAGGGAATCTTAAAAACCAGTGTAGAGTGGTACGTAATGCCAGCAACTGCAAGGTGAATCACAATAGGTAGCTACGTGTACTGTATACTGTAAGTTACTGCTAGTGGCAGAAATCCACATTTCCAAATTTGTTTGTTACGGTGCTGGAACAAGTGTGTGTGTGTGTGTGTGAGTCTTACTGTGTGTTTTCTCAGCTTTCCACTTTGTCGCAGCTCTTCGAATACTTGATTGGTCTTTCTACTATGTTTCTACCTTCCTCCCTTGCTGGAGAATTATTCACCAGGTGACAGAAGGATAATGCAGTAAATTTCCTTCCCTGAAGGAGAAATCATCTCATGAA